CTCTTTTTAATTACATTTCCTGATGCATATACATGTACTTATGCAGTGTAGAAAGATTGAGCTGATTCAGATCAAGTTTGGATTTTCTATGATTTTTTAAAGTTGCTCAAAAATTGAACAAAAGTCCCTATACTAGAGTACAGGGATTTTTCAAAAATTTCACAAAAATTGGCAAGTAGAAAATTCCTCAATTCTGTTACATTTTCTGATGCATATACATGTACTTATGCAGTGTAGAGAGATTGAGCTGTTTCTGATCAAGTTTGGATTTTCTATGATTTTTTAAAGTTGCTCAAAAATCGGGCAAAAGTCCCTGTACTATAGTACAGGGATTTTTGTAAAATTTCACAAAAAGTGACAAGTAGAAATTTTCCCAATTTTATTACATTTCCTGATGCATACACATGTACTTATGCAGTGTAGAAGTATGAGCTGATTCCTGTGAGATCAATTCCAATAAAAGGTCTACAGAAGATTTATTCTTGCTACAATCTTGATTCTGGCTGGGCCTTAGAATAGTAATGGTTTCTTATTTGGTACACCAATTCTCACTGAAACTTTGAAGAAAGAATACTGGGATCTATAATCTATAATTATGGTCACACCCACCAACATTCTCAGCTAGAATGCTCCAGAAGGTTGATGGGGGTGTGGCCAGTATTGTCTGCTACGCATGCGCAGATCCCCCTGTATAAAGGAATGGGCCAACCTGAAAGCTGCTCGAGCTGAGGAGGTCTGAGTTAATTAATTGGTGGGTGTGGCCAGTATTGTCTGCTGCGCATGCGCAGATCCCCCTGTATAAAGGAATGGGCCAACCTGAAAGCTGCTCGAGCTGAGGAGGTCTGAGTTAATTGGTAGGTGTGGTTAATCATTATGGCCCATCCTACATTGTAGTGAAGATGTGTGGCTTATTCTTGTTAACAAATTGACTGGCTGGGACTTAAATATTAAAGGACCTTCTTTCTTGATGTCTTTGGGCGACGGGACATCTTTCACTATCATTGGGGAGTTGTTATACTCAATCTTGGCCTGTCCGAGGCTAACCTTATCCATTACAACTGTAGTTACCGAGGTAAATACTCAGGCTATAGATCAATTGTTTATGTATAACTACTGTATAAGCTTATGAGTTTTACTGTATTACTGAACGTGTACAATTAGGTAAAGTATTGTTTAAAATACAGTACAATACTGTTTTAACTCAGTGCTGTATACTAGTGTTTTTGCTGTTCTATTTATAGTGAGATGGACTTTGATGTACACTAATGAAGTCTTACTCCTTCTCAAGGCGATGGATCATCTTTTACCAAGATAGGACAGCTTATATTCATTATATCTTTTCAATTGTACAACATTACTGTATATGCTGAGATATTTAGCTGTTGTTTAATTACTGTGTAGTGTGTAAACTGTATTACCTGTATTTTAGTGTAGTATCAAGTTTATTATAACAATAACAGTGACTATTTAGCTAACTATTAGGTGTGATGATGGCAGTAGTGTTGTTATTACTTAAAAGAATGTATTATTAATAAATTAATTAAGGAGATTGCGCAATGCATCTGTGCATCCGCAGAAAGTTGAGTGGTGTCTACTGCACATGCGCAGACCTCCTCTGTAAAGGAATGGGCCAACTTGCTGTAAGTAACATATCATTTTTGCAAAAATGGCCAAAAAATCACTCCAAATTTTTATTACATTTTCTGATACATATTGATGTCCTTATGCTGTGTAGAAAGATTCAGCTGATTCCAATCAAGTTTGGATTTTTTATGATTTTTCAAAGTTGCTCAAAAATTGGACAAAAGTCCCTGTACTATAGTACAGGGATTTTTGTAAAATTTCACAAAAATTGAAAAGTAGAAAATTCCCCAGTGTTATTACATTTTCTGATGCATAAACATGTACTTATGCAGTGTAGGGAAGTTGAGCTGATTCCGATAAAGTTTGAATTTTTTATAGTTGCTAAAAATCGGGCTAAAGTCCCTGTACTATAGTACAGGGATTTTTGAAAAATTTCAATAAAATTGACAAGTGAAAAATTCCCCAGTTTTATTACATTTTCTGATGCGTATACATGCACTTATGCAGTGTAGGGAAGTTTAGCTGATTCCGATAAAGTTTGAATTTTTTATAGTTGCTATAAAATCAGGCAAAAGTCCCTGTACTATAGTACTAGGATTTTTGGGAAATTTCAATAAAATTGACAAGTGAAAAATTCCCCAGTTTTATTACATTTTGTGATGCATATACATGTACTTATGATGTGTAGAGAAGTGGAGCTGATTCCGATCAAGTTTGGATTTTTAATGATTTTTAAAGGTGCTGTATATTTGTACCATCTTTGAATTGATTGTTAGTGGGTGTTCCCGGTATCGTCTACTGCGCATGCGCAGATGCCTCTGTATAAATGAATGGGCCAACCTGAAAGCTGCTCGAGCTGAGGAGGTCTGAGTTAATTGGTAGGTGTGGTTAATCATTATGGCCCATCCTACATTGTAGTGAAGATGTCTGGCTTATTCTTGTTAATTAATTGACTCTGGCTGGGACTTAAAATATTAAAGGACCTTCTTTCTTGATGTCTTTGGGCGACGGGA